CCACCTGGCCATGCCGGGCCCATCTTTTGTTGGAGAAGTAATGCCCAAATGATATTGTATTGATTCACTCCAAACTTTATCGATGAGGATTTCTCTGGAATCAGCTTTTATCATAAGCTTCCCCAGGAAAATGTACCACCTACTCAATATTAAATGGGTAAACTCTTGTGGATTCCACTTTAATTGCTTCAAAATCTTTTCTACCATATAGGAACATCAACAAAACTAAAATTTGTAATAATTGTTTCCAAATTGTGATATATAGAGCTAAGCCATCGAAATTAAGAAGATATATTCTACAATTTGCTCGTGTAACAAAGCACTTCGAGTGGCTACTTGGTGAAACCACTTAAAAAAGTGATCTAAGATTAACTTCCCTCATGATTTAGATGATGCCGATGAAAGCTGTTTCATGTCACAACTTTCTGTTCATTAGGGCAATAATCCATTTTAACTCCTCCTATCATCTACAGCTAAAAGATTATTAGTAGCAAACATTCTGACACTGCTTCGTTATTGGATAAAATTCTTAAGTTTCGATGAATGGCATGCTTTAACTTGAATTCTCGCAAGTGATACGTTTCCATTGCAATTATATTCTTGTTAGTGGATATTAAATCGCAAAATTATAATTTATGTATAATATGAATTTCTCTCCTCTCCTGGCTCTTCTAGGATACATCAAACTTATGGTACAATGAGGCACAGAAATAATATGTCCTCCAAGTCCGAGATCTTAAAGCCACTAGGGATTTATACATCATTGGTCCTCTGGGATGCTAGAAAATGACGGATGTAATTTGCTACAAAGTTTGCCACATAATGTCTCAGTACAATCATTATAAACATTCTCCTGGTAATAGATCTTACTTGGAATCTCTTCTGCATGATCATCGAAAGTAATAGTAACCTTACAAAGGACTCTTGATGCCCTGGATTAGAGCTCAGTTTTCTTGTTAATTGATCATAGTATGATGATATTATAAGGCAGTGTGAGAAGTATTGTGTGACAAAAATACGCATTTATGAAATAGTGCCTGTTGCCATTAATGTTACATACAATATAATGATCGCATCTCCCTTTGTGCTGTTGCATGCTGGTGCAATCGGTTCAGACTTCATCCAACTGGATGATAATGCTAGCTCTAACCATTCCAAACTGGTTTATATATTCCTTGAAGAAAGAAAAATTTACCGAATGAACTGACCTGCAAAGCCCATTAGATTTAAATCATTTTGAGCATGAATGAGATATTCTTTAAAGATGTATAGTATCCTGGGAAGTAACTTCAGAAGACAAAGATGTCCGACAACACCACTTCGATTTTAAGAAAGTAAAAGGTTGCTAGGTGACTCTTGACGTTCGTGATGACAATACCCCATATTGAAATTAAATTTTTGAATTATATCTATATGTGTGGGGATAAGTTAACTACTTAGATAGAAGACTGGCTGGATGGAAGAAAGCATGTGATTGTTATAGATGGAGTTCAGTCAAACTGGATTAATGTGACAAGTGGGGTACCTCAAACTTAGTCTTAGGACCTTCGCTGTTTTTGATTTGCATCAATGACATATATGAAGGAATGGTCAATAAATTGCTTAAATTTGCAGATGATATTAAGGTCTTGGGTGTTTCTAGCTGTGAAGGGGTGCTGCTGATTTACTAAAGGACTTAGATCACTTTGTGAGTTGGGCAAGCAAATGGCAAATGAGTTTTAATTATAATATTTGCAAGGTAATGCATGTGAGATATCACAATTTGAATTATGAGTATAATTTGGATGGGAATAACATTAACAGAGTTATGAAAGAAAAGGATCTTGGTGTAATGGTTGATCAGTCTCTTAAGCCATCTAAGCAGTGTGCTGTTGTTAGTGGTAAGGCAAATAGGATTTTAGGTTGTACCTACAGAAATATTGAATATAAGTTTAAAGAGGTTTAGTTTCGTTGTATAGGTCATTGGTTAGGCCACATTTGGAGTATTGTGTTCACTCTTATCTTAGAAAGGACATTGAATTGTTGGAAGGGGTTCAGAGAAGGACGACCAGGATAACACCTGGGATGGAAAGGTTGTCATATGAGGAGAGGTTGAGATCTCTCAAGTTATTTTTTTCTTGAAGAAAGAAGAGTGGGAGAGGATCTGATTGAGGTGTTTAAGATTGTAAAGGGGAATTGATAAATTTGAGGCATCAACTTTTTCCATACTTAACGGCGAGAATAGTAGCACTAGATGACACAAATATAAATTTGGCAAGTTAGGAGTCATCTTCAGATAAGACAGGTTTATTTTTCTAACAGGGTGATTGGCCTTTGAAATGGGTTGCCTTTGGTTGTTGAGGGGACAGTAAATTTAAGTGAGCTTAAGAGAAGGCTTGATAAGGGCTGGCTTTAAGATTTTTTTCAATTTATTAATTTAATAGTTTTAGTTTACTTTAGAGGATGGGACAACCAAGATGGACCAATAGGTCCCTTGTTGTCCCAAAACATTATGTTATGTTATAAGATGATGAAACTACAAAATTATAAATTAGCTTAGGCTTAATAGTTAACCAGTTATATATTTAGTAACACATCGGATCATCATATGACTGTATACTCACAAATATGAACTGAGGACGATGGTGATCGACAATATTTTTTTTACACTTGTGTTATAGAAGGGCACTCTTTACATATGAATAAAAATTCGAATTTGTATGGCAAAAATCAATGATAGTTTGTTCGACGGCATAGAAGTGAATGGTATGATGGTCAACATATAACATCTAAAGTGAAGCATTCTGTGGGACCAATACAAGTGTGGGATGCATCTCAGCCAATGGCATTATAAATATACGAAATATTGATGGCACCCTAACTGCTGAAAAGTACATGTACATTGTTATTCATTATGCCATTCCCTTAGGAATAAACACTGTTTGGCATGAATTTATCCTCCAGTAAGACAGCGATCCTAAGCATGCTGAAAATGTAGTGAAAGTATACCTAAAAATAGAAGAAATTGGAGAACATTCGCAACCATAGCCTGGCCTGCAGAAAGGCTCAATATGAATATTACTATACCTGTATAGGCTTACATTGAAACTGAGAAGGTCAAACGTCATTCAAACAGATTGAGTGAGTTGTAGAGTAATATAGAACATTTAAAACAATGTTCCACAATCACACATTGATGAATATATGGAAAAACAAGGTGTACTGCTCTGTTTAAAGCAAGTAAAAAAATACTAGCGCATTGTACAATTCATTTGCTTTTTAGTATTTTAGACGATAATAATAATAATGCATTGTTTTAATAATAAATGGACCATTTAGCTGTTCCCTGTTTATGGACTTATAATGTTAAAATCCTAAGCTTGGCGATTGACATAGCGCAGATAGCCCAATGTGTGGCTTTGCACTAAAACAATGAAAGGAGTCCTTGTTATTACTCATTTTTTGTGACTCCTGTATTTGCGCTAACTGAGCATTTCCATAATCATTTCCCACACTATAGTTGTCACGTGAGGATATGATTTAAATATATACCGATATACAAATTTAACGGTAGAAAAAATACAATAAATGTGTTATTGATTTTGAGAAACTATTATAATAGCCCTCGAGTTTCTATTGAGGTAACTTTTGTTTCTTCGTGATACAGGAACTATCAACTCGTTACTCAGCTGGAAGTTTTATATCCCCCTAAGTCGAGTGTCGTACATGGTGTTTCTTCTCCACCCGGCTTTCATTATTTTCTTCAGTGGTCACTACCGTTCAACCCTGTATTACTCCAGCTGTCTTGTGGTAAACTTTATACATATAGAAAGTAGTCGTACCGTATCATATTTCTAAATATCTGGTGAATAGTTAACTACGTAGTATTTTCTGTAAATAAAAAAATTAGTTTTACAAAAACGCATTAATATTTCGAGATAAATGACTTTCATTTAGCTTATAAAGCACTTTAAATTTTACTTTCGTGGCAGTTTATAGTGACACTCATTTTTGAATGGTTGAGAGTAACCAGAGGATAAAAAAAAACCCCAAATTGTAACTTTGTAAAGCAATATAAACTCACTTGCAGAAATATTTCAAAATATATATAATATTTTGTGCATTGCACAATTGCCATAACTTTATTTCTGAAAAAAGACTGACTCTCTATTTTAGTTTCATCAATATTTTAACCTCTTATGGTTTTATCAATGTAATTTTATTTGCAGTGTTGCAAAATGCAAAGGCTGATTTTGGCAAAACGTAAGTCGTTAACTGTTTAAGAACTCACAATTTAAAGTAAACTTGAGAATTATCAATTAAAAATTCAGTCAATTTTTCACTGCTTGTTCAAATATTTCCTTTGTTGTTTTTTTATAGTTTTATCTGTTCATCGCATATACTAGCGTATCCTACTTGGGAGGGTTCCTCTGCTCGTTATTTTACCAAACTCCATTTTGGAGTTTGGAGAGGTTTTTCGTCAGTTTAATGTCTAAGAACACGTTGTCAACGGATGATGACCTCAATAGAGACGGCTCACAAAATGGAGCAGAAGATGATCATTGGTTGACTAGGAACAAGAAAGAATTGGATCTGAAAGAAGTAGGAATAACAATGAAAAACTACAACGCTAGATGGGGCGAGTGTGGTACGCAAAATAAAGTATACACAGCAAAAGTATGAAAAATATAGAGTGGGTAACGGAAGGTAATATAGACATACATTCCACTAGTATGGTAACTAAGAATTATTCATTATATAAATAACTTCAAAATCAATGACAACACATTTAATGTTTATTTATAAATAAAATTATGCTAAAACATAAATCCCTTTCTCAGATTTTTTAACTCATTTAGTTTAATAATATTTAATTATGCAATAATTTTTGTATTTTTTATTTTGTTTTACGCTTAAGAAATGAAACGTCATTATTTTGTTTCTTGATTGACAGTGTACTAGCTGACTTAAGAAGAAAACCTGGAAATGAAGGAACTTTACAAACACTGATTATCCTGGACTAAAATAAACAATCTGTATTAAAAATACTGATTTCTGGTTTGTCTTTGTTTATTCAGGCCTTTAATGATTGATTGGACAAAGTTAACAGATTCAGATTAGTACCTAATCTCAGTTATACTGTAACGTAAAGATAAGACACACTTGAGACAAATTTCCACTTGTCCTTACTGCACTCGGATTGTTTTACGGAACAAAACTGGCTTGAACTCTTCTCTCCTAAGATAGTAGTAACAGGACTGAGACTGAATTGTACTGAACTGTTGTTGAGATGAGACGAAAATGAAATAACATGTATCCGAACATCAAAACTATAAGTTAAGTGAAAGAACGAAAAACACGTTCCAGTTTCCACTTATCACATGAAAGATTATAAAAATGACAACGCACTCAGTCTTCCCAACCTTAAAAATTTGTAGCTAAACCATGTGTGAATACAGAGCTAGCCGCTAGGTTCCAGTAATAAAAACAGAATTATTAGAGACAACTAAATTCAGGACGTAATACATAAGACAACTAAACTCAAGATGTAATACATGAAACAACTAAACTTAGGACGTAATAAGTGAGACAACTAAACTCAGTACATAATACATGAGACTAATAAACTTAGGACGTAATAAGTGAGACAACTAAACTCAAGACGTAATAAGTGTGACAATTAAACTCAAGATGTAATACATGGGACAACTAAACTTGGGACGGTTCATGCAAATCAGGCAATTACAGACATGAGAAGCTAAGATTATTATGTTTTTTAATCAGTCAATCACAAATTTGAAAAGCTATTATTATTTTGTTTTAATCAGCCAACCACAGACTTGAGAAGTTATGATTATTCTGTTTCTTAATCAGCCAATCACAGGCCTGAGGAATTATGGTGATTTTGTTTCTCAGTCAACAAATCACAGACTTGAGAAGTTATGATTATTCTGTTTCTTAGTCAGCCAATCATAGGCCTGAGGAATTATTGTGATTTTGTTTCTTAGTCAACAAATCACAGACTTGAGAAGTTATGATTATTCTGTTTCTTAGTCAGCCAATCACAGGCCTGAGGAATTATGGTGATTTTGTTTCTTAGTCAACAAATCACAGACTTGAGAAGTTATGATTATTTTGTTTTTTAATCAGTCAATCACAAATTTGAAAAGTTATTATTATTTTGTGTTTTAATCAGCCAATCACAAACTTGAGAAGTGTTTATTATTTTGTAGCAAAGAAAGAAAACAATTTAGGTAAATTTTGTGGAATGTCACTTGCTTTCATACGAGTTATAAGATAAAACTTTGAGAAACAATAAACTAATTATTTACGTTTTACTCTACTTAATTTTGTGGATTTTTACGTATTCTGGCTTTTCTTGGTATTTCCTAAGTGCGTCTTTGTTATTATAAGTTTGTTTTGACGATTTTAATTTTAATAAATAGTACACAAGTGTTCTGCATACTTTTCCAACAGAAAGTAGTTTTGAAAAGTATATATTTCAATATATTTACATAGAAACTACCGAAAATCTCTTTTTTTTTTTTGGCAATTCAGTGAATTTCCTGCTTGTATTTTTTATGGATCTTTATTTCTATAATAAAAGTTACAGTTATTTTCACTTGTCAAGCATTACCCAAATGCTTCTTTTTCACTTTGACCTTAAGTCAGGTTTCAATGACACAAGATTAAACTTTTCGCGTTCAAAAAACATTTATAAGAAACTTCAATGAATCGTTTTATTTTATATTCTTACTTTCGATTATACGTTTCAAAACATTTGATCATCAAATTATTTCAAAAATCTACCTGTTATACTTGTTCTTAATTTTTCTGAAGTGATATGAAAGTAACCTGTCTAAAAACAATTAGTGTCTGTCTAACTCCGAGGTTAAATTAAAATACTTGCCAAGCCATTCTTGGTTGGTTTGAATTTCGCGCAAAGCTACACGAGCGTTATCTGCGTTAGCCGTCCCAAATTTAACAGTGTAAAACTAGAGGGCTACTATTTTACCAACGAATAGTTGGATTGACCGTCACGGTTGAAAGGACGAGCATGTTTGGTGGGATGGGGATTCGAACCCGCGATCCTCAGATTACGAGTCAAGCGCCCTAACCACCTGGTCATGCCGGGCCCAAACCATTTTTACTTCCAGTGTTACAAAACAGAAATGGCTTTATCTTAGAATTATTAATAACTTATGATTTTTTGTTGTTTTGGCGTTGACTTATACCCGTAAATAGTAGGACTACCAACATAAACGTGTGGTTGAGTATGCTTTCGTTATTACATTAAGTATGATAGAAATTACAAAGTACTTAATAAGATATATTAATATTTAAATCGCTTGTGTTAACACAATCATAATTTCCAGTTACTTTTCTGTCATGGGACGTAATTTGCTAATTAATTTCAATAAACATTAAAGTTTTTACTTATTAAGAAGAATTAACGTTATGTTAGCTTTAAAGTTTAATAATAAGCTTTTTTCATTGTATCAGATGAACCAACTTTAAACAGCCAATATCCATAAAAATGGAGGTGTATGACCTGGCATATTAATCAATGTATTTTTTAGTTCGTCATATACTTCAGTTCTGTAGCAGAGTTAACAAAAATATGGTTGTATATGAACACGTGAAGTTATTTAACCTTCTCGCCTGGTGGTTTTCAAACGAACTAAAATTTCGTAACGTGCGACTAATTAGTATAAATGACGATATTTAATCGTTAAAAAGGAAGTTTCATTAGCAGCATTTATGCACTGTTAAAAAAAGAGACACGGACATATTTCTTTAATTTTGCATTTAGAAATAACTCTTTCAATACGGGGTCAGTCAATGTGACGATCTCGTAACCATTTTGTGCTTGTTATAGTTTTCATGCTATAACTTTTAGCCCCCCCATTGACACAGCGTTATGTCTGCGGACTTACAACGCTAGAATCCGGGTTTCGATACCCGTGGTGGGCAGAGCACTGATAGCGCATTGTGTATCTTTGTGCTTAATTACAAACAAACTTTAACTTTTAAATTAGTAAGCGAACGTTAACGAAATTTGGCAGATTATAAATAAACATTACAATGCTTTCATACACAAAATATAAAATTTTTATATTAAGTCGTTAAGTTTGTAAAGCAATTTTTTTCTTTTCACATGTTGCCTATCCAACATGCAAAGTAATTTTTATTTTAATGTTAAAAATACTTTTATACATCAGAAAAGTTTTAAATTTCACTTGCGAAATCTTTATAATGTCCAGATTGTTATCAAACGTTCCTTAAGAAAAAACTTTAAATCTTTAAGAATTTTGCAGTGGAGGACATGAAACAAATTTTTTTTTTTAGGTTTTATATATTCATTTGAATAACTAAAAAATCATAACTTACTACATCAATACCATAGAATTTCACTATAATTTATCAAGCTCAGTAACTAATATGTATTTTACTCTAAAAATTGTGAAATTTCAAGCAGACTACAGACACAATCTACCTCATTGAAATCTTGGTTCAAAAGAAAGAAATGGCACTAGTCACGTTAGAAAGGATGAGAAAACCACAAGGGTGACATTTTGAGCTTCCAATTGGTTATTCACGTCATATATAGAAGTAAGTGAGCGTTTCCAAAAATGAAAAGAAGTGGGCTGGGTGCCACTGTGTTTGATTTATTACATGAGCAATATCTGAGCAAATACAAAAAAATAAGACCTTCTTGTTTTATATTCTAGCTTGTAAATATCTGTAATTTGAGTTTCTAATTCGTACGAAGCTGCAGACTTAGTTGACTTCAGAAACACCTAATCTGAACTAGTGCTGTATTCAACATACCACGTGACACAAAAATCGATGTTTATTTTTTAAATACTTCCTTTTAAATTAAGAAATTAAGTAATGTATAGTTCTAAAATTTGAATTATAATCTACCGTTTGATACCAAACTTATTGACATAAATTCCTGAAATAGTAGTTCAATAAAATTTCGAATGCGAGTCAACAAACGAGATGACATGGCCTTTCACCTGTGACCCGTCTCGAAAGGGATATAAGTTGGCCATTAGAGAAACTTCCCGCCTTAGAGTTATAATTTAATCTTCCCACACGGCAACACTTCGATAAAATAATAACTCACATAAAATAGGCGATCAATATTATGGAAATCAACTTTACACACACGTACACCCAAGGATTAGCAACACTATCGTTATAGGCACTGGTTATGTCATGACATCACCAATACTCATTTGATTGTCAAGTTACTAACGAAAAGGAGCCTTAACTAATAGTAGGAAAACCCCAGAGGCGTTTTTAACACTTCAAACTACTCGGTGCAATTTTCTTAGAGAGCCCATCCGTCTGATCAGCTAAAAGTATAGAAATTTATAAGTTTTTTATTGTATTACTTTGGGGGCCCACAATATGAGGGGCACGTTGGTGCGTTGCCCCGATTCCACCGACGTTAAATACGCCGCTGGAAAACCCCGTTGTTTTGTCGAATTAACATTGAAGAATATTTCTTAACCAATTAACTGGTGCAATTAAAAGTTCAAATTTTCGCGGGATGCATCATGAGTCACGTTTTCAAAGTTGAGCTTTCGTAAGTAATAAATAAAACATATTTTCTTTATTGTAGCTTACAGACATCTTAAAATCTCACAGTTCTTCTCTGTTGATCTAGAATACTAGCAGTCAAATATTTATGTGCATTTATACTAAAATACTCATGTCCGTTATAGTTGTTTGTTCATGGAA